GTCGGGCGACTCGTCTCGGGTTCGGGTTACAGTGCGGAGCTCGAAACCAGCTGTGTCGAGACTACGTCGCCGAAAAGGGAGTCAAATCCGGCGATTCAACTTCAAAGCTTTCTTCTTTTTTTTTTTTTTCTTTTTTTGACACAGGCTGGGATTACAGTGTAGTGGGGTCAAACCCTGCTTCGGTAGGTTAAACCTAGTGAGTGGACGGCGCAGTGGTCATCTCTATCCTTAACCGAGTTAAGTCCAGGTCAGTGAACTCGCGCTAAGCCATGGCGGAGATGGGCAGAGTGGAGTGGTGAAGAGAGTAGAGAGCGAGAAGGGCTAATTACACTGGATCATGACTCTCGCTGGAATTTTTTTTTTTTCCTTTTTTTTTCATCACAGTCGCTAAATGGCTTTGAAAACAGCATAATGTGCTTTTTCTCCTCAAGGCGGGTGCGATCATTCGCCTTATTTAATCACAGTCGAGTCCAGCGATTTCCATATGTTTCGGCTTTAATTATTCTCCGCCAAGGCGCCTGAGGGGGCGCCGGTGAGGTAAAAGCGGGCCGCTGTTTCCTTTAAACGCCCGCCGCTGAAACCTCTCCCAGCTCTGTGCTTTCTGCGGGCGCTCTAATTAGCGAAATGGCCACCGCAGCTACTCCCAGCTCACCCCGCCGCACGTATACACCCCTCGGGGTGAGGATAGGTGCTGTATAGTGATGAAGATGCTATGACGATTACTCACTATTACATTTCAGTTTAGCCTAGAGCACCTTGAACACGTCACTTCATTGCCATAATGGCTGGAAACCCACAAAAAAAAGATCTCTCTTTGCTCCTGACACATTGTCCGGCAAAGTGTACGAAGCTAGCCGACCCAGCATGGTCAGGAACCACTTCATTAGAAGGAAATACACCATGGAGAGCTGGACATTGCGAAGCAATAACCATCAAAAGAATGTAAATGTAGAAATGAGGCAATTTCATCTTTTGGGAACTTAATCATTCCTGTCTTGAAAGTACATGCACAGTTGACATGCTCGCGAGGCCAGACGGGATTATTAATCGAATTTGTCGATTATGATTGTTAAGTACAACCGCTTTAAGGCATTGAGAAAGTGTTCTTTATACCTACACAGGTTTCAGAACAAGAGGGGATGGCCGTAATGACCACGTAAGTAAAAAAAGGCTAGCAAAATTCAGTAAGGCTTCATTTCGGTGGTCCACTGTAGATGCTCAACTTTAACTGATGTTCAACTATATTTATTTTCCCAAACCCAGAGCTCAAATTGTAAATGATGAAGTTCTGGAACAACGATGGATCTGGAATGTTCCAGGAAACATGTTCCGGCACAAATTAAGCTTTGTCCAAACCCTAAGAGACAGGAATTAAGATCATAGACTATAGTGTAGTCTAGGACTAGGGTTAATCCCTGTCTGGGAAAAAGCCCTAAATTTAGCAATCATTCTAACCTTAACCTCAACCCAAAACATAGAAATAATTCTAGTTCTAATCCTAGAGCACAAGTACTGTATTTGAGTACTCAGTAAAATACTACTTAAGTATCCAGCTGTATTTTTACTTGAGTAAAAAATACATGTTTGTGAATGCACTTTAGCACTGGTTTCCCAGACAGGAATTAAGCCTAGTCCTGGAACAACGATATTCCAGGAAATATGTTCTGGTACAAATTAAGCTCTGTCTGGACAGGGATTAAGCTCATAGACTATAGTGTAGTCCTGGACTAGGCTGAATCCTTGTCTGGTAAACCAGCTCTAAATTGAACACTCTTACATTCTAACTGTAAACTCAACCCAAAACATAGACCTAATCCCTTAAATGGCTATGGCCCAATGGTGGGCCCAAAGTTTTATTACGCACTTTTGCATTGAAGTTCCTGTAGTTACTGCGTAATAAGCCTGTGTAACAAGCCTGGGATTTTAAGGGGTTAAATATCAAATATGTGCTTTAAATTATTACAGATCTTGTATAACATAATTTTGATGAGCAAGTTCTATCAAGGACACCAATATGGCTGCAAACATGAACTTGTTCATCAAAATAACTCAAAGTACTTTTAAATTTGACACTGAAGCCCATTTACAAGCAAGTACTTTTGTACTTCTACTCAAGTAGAACACTTGTACTTTTACTCAAGTAGTATTTTACCAAGAGTTCAGTAAAAGTATGGTACTTCTTTCACCCCTAACGCTAATTATACAGCCAGTTAGCGAACAACAGCTAACTATTTGAGCATTTGCAGCTAACCACCGAAATAAAGTGTTACCCAAACACCTCTGTTGGATCTAGTCATGGTCGTGACTTCGTGAAGATGTCTCCGGCTCCGTGAGAGGGGGCTCGATCTGCAGACCGTCCAGCGATTCCCTCAGAAACTCTTAGCGCTCCCTGATGCAACGGGGAGTCGCGCGACAGATCTCGGGGAAAGTAGTTTTTCCGAAAGAAATGCCTTTTCAGCTCAGCCCTGTTCTAAAGGAACAGCAGGCTAGCAGCTCAGCGAGAGAGGCTTAGCCTGCTGCATGGAGTTAAGCCACTGCGCTGTGTGAGGTCCGCCAAGGAGGAAAGGGTTCACAGTGCCAAACACACACCCAACGGCGGGTCGACAGCCGCGCACGCTACCATGCCCACACACACACGCGTGTGCTGGGTTGGCTATGTGATAGTGTGCTGGTAGCGCCACACAATGTGTGACAGTGAGTTTGTGACAACACACAAGACATGTACATTAGTTTCGTGGCCATGTGCACACGCACAGGCCTGCTGTCACGTAGCATCAGCTGCTGTGGTTGTCTATGGCCTAACACACACACACAAACAAACACACACACACACATACTCACACAAGCTGTGTCCCAACTGCACACTGAACAATAGTGCTATGTTGTATATTGTCATTATCCAAAAGTATCTCTGTTTTTTGAGCTTTTTAATTTTATACATCATTTGATCTCCTTTGCACTGTGTGAATATTTAATGATGAATAGACCAATAGAAATGCTCCAAAATTGAATAATAGAACCAGTAGAAATGCTCCAAAATTAAATAACTGAACCAATAGAAATGCTCCAAAATTGAATAACTGAACCAATAGAAATGCTCCAAAATTGAATAACTGAGCCAATAGAAATGCTCCAAAATTGAATAACTGAATCAGTAGAAATGCTCTAAAATTGAATAATTGGACCAATAGAAATGCTCCAAAATGCTAAGTAAAATCATTAACTTACATTATCAGTTACGAAACGTTTTTGCCTTCAGTTTAGGAGTTTGTTTTGGATAGTGATGATTTTCAGTGTACTAAGCTTAATTGTAAGCTTGTATGCAAAAATATGAATGCAATGTATTCTACTAATGGGAAGAGATGTTGCTATGGCAACAATGAGCTTGTCATAACGAGCTGCATCCTTGTAGGCTACTTTGAAAAAAAATGTATTATTCATAAAGCTTTGGTTTTCTGTAGGTAAAGCAATTATTACATAATCTTCTGAACTTTAAAAGAGAATGAGAAAAAACACTGCTATAACTTTTACGTAACAATGTTATAAACATGTCATAGGTTGCTATGAGACCATTGCCATCATTTTCATGAGAGATGCTGTAATGTTTGATGCTATGATAGACTATAGTGGGTTTTCTGCCAACCAATTTTTTTGCAAACTTTGAAAATGAGCAAAAAATAAAATAGCGTGAAATTGGAAAAACACCCAAATATTGCAAAAAGAGTTTTTATGTTAGGACGAGTGGAAAACTTAGAATATGCCTAAAGCTGGAATGTGAAAAAGGGTGATTGAAAAAAAAGTTTTTTCCAAAAACGATGAAGCCAAAAGTGAGGAATGACTGGCCCTAGTAATGGTCAGATTCTGGTGTATAGCTTTTTCAAAGGCTGATTTCAATATTCTGAAATGCCTGATCCAAAGATCATTTGGAAAATTCCCATTCCCAGATGCAAGGGGGCGTCTTCGGGGTGGCACAGAGATTTGGGCCCTCATTACGTGAGCCATTGCTCATCCTGCCCGGCGTCTCTGAGCTGCAAATAGCCATGAAAAGGTGGCAAATAACTGTAAAGATAATTCACCTTAAAGCTGAGCTGCTTGTTTCAATGCAGCCCCCCACCATGGTGGCCTAAAGTTTCTTCGCAAAATTTGGATTTTTGCACTAATTGCACTAATTTGCACTAATTGCAAAATTTGCACTAATTTGGAATAACATATGTTGTATAACTGGACATAATCTGTCATGACATGGTTGCTCCATGGTTATGTCAACGTCATGCAACAAGGTACAAGTTACCAAACGTTCTTTAAATGCTAATTTATGTTTCTGTAAGAGATGTTATTCTAACTAATAGTGAGCCACTTCTATTGGTCCATTCGTCATGAAATGCACACGATACAAAGGGCAGCTAACGTTTTCAAATAAACAAGAAAAATGAAATCAAATGAGCGACGAAACACTCACAAACCAGAGTAAGTGCTCGGCACACAATTGGGACACAGCTAGTTTCTCAACACCACATGCCAGCAGGTCTCAGGCCACGCAGCTGCATGTAAAGTTCAGAGACACGACAACGCTTGAGAGTGTGCGAGTTCATCAGGAGGTTTTCCCACCCTCCCTCATCCCTCCCTCCATCTTCTGAAGCTCAGAGAACCTCCGGCGGCGGCGGCGGCAGCAGCAGCACCACCAATGTATCCTCCTCAGGCTGGTTCATTCATTATGAAGTGTTTTTTTTTTCCTTTTTTTTGATCTCAGATCGAGCCTGGTAGTTGTATTCGTATATACACACCATACAAATGTATTTACATCGCTGTACATGTACTAAGATCGCTCCGTCTGGAGGAGGAGATCCGATACACACAAGTAGCGGAGATTCTAGTAGAAGCTTCCGGCTTATGGCACTACAGCACAGGTCACACTGTTTAAAAGATCCAGTAAACATTCCACAGGCTAACGAAGCTAAAGCCAGTCACGTCGAAGCTGTTTTTTTTTTTTTGTTGTTGTTTTTCTTTTTTTTTTTCATGGTTCGTGGTAGTATGTGGAACGAATGCATTTCAAGGAACCGAAAAACAGATCAAAGTAATAAATAGATGAATTCATGAGTGCATAAATAAATAGAAATATAAATAAATGTACAAATCTATCACACTTTTGTTGTTCACTAATAGCCTGGATTCGCTATTCAAGTGGCATTACGTCCAGTCAACGTGGTTTCGATGCCTCTTCGTGGACGTCTCGTCTCGTTTCTGCGCCGCGCCTTCTTTCAGCTGTGTGTCAGTCGGTAGGGCCGTGGGTTAAGCTCACAGGTAAATTTCCCTTTTGGAGGCGTGGTTGGAGGTGGGGCTGGTGGGCGGGAACTCCGAGGTGACGCTCAGAGGCACCTCCTCCAGTGGGGCGTGGTCACTGGGGACGTGGTCACTGCTGGAGTAGGCACTGCGGGAAGGGGGTAGGCGGGGCCGGGGCTCGTCTCCGCCCAGCCGGGGGGCGTTCCCGTTGGCCAGCCGGCCCAGGCTCCCTCTCTCCTGATAAGGCACGAAGGTGGAGAGCTTGGGAGGGTTGCGGCTCTTTCGGACTGGGGACGGCTGCCCCGGCATCCAGCAGGCGTCCGAGTGGCCCAGCTCGCTGCACTCCTGACTGCAGTTCCCTGTCATGGCGACGTCGGGCAGGGAGCGGATATCTGGGAGAAAAACAAAAACAAGGCGTCGTTAGACGTCCAGCCGAGGGATTTTATATGAGGAAAATGTTACCACGGACATTTTATGGAGTTGAACAGGTTCCAGGTCACCTTCTCATACTGCCATAGGGTCAACACCTATAATATTATATTATATAAGATTATAATTATAGTGGACCATTCTACTGAATTAGTTCAAGCTACAAACAGACAAACAAACAAACAAACAAATAAATAAATAAATACATTTTGTATTATTGCTTTTAAAGTGAAGCTGAAAGATTTCGATTCAACATCAGTTAAACTTTATTCAAAAAATGCTGTCCCATATTTTCAGGTCACTTCCGAGACAACTAAAGGTTTTTGTCTGTGGGCGGAGCCTTATGTTAGCCACTCCCCTGCATTTTAGAGCAGGAAGTGAGACTGCATCCCTGTCCCTCATGGCCACATGGTTAGATTGTGGTTAGATCCCATTGTTTTGAGGTAAATGTTTCCCAAAGTCTGAAAATCAGTGTGGAACATTGAAAACTGTCACATATTTGTGTTTTAATGAAATTCTTATGATTGTGTGTGTAACACTGTTAAAGGCTATGTTTGCTCGTCATGCACTGGCTAGTTTTTTTGAGTTCCGCTCAAAATTAGCTAAAATTATCACCACCGAAACTGTCACTACTGAAACATTTGGTAGTTTCAGAAGTGACAGGATGTTTTGGCAGTGATAAAAGTCCATATCCTCCCATATACATTCAAAACAGTCCATTTTTGGATATTTCAATGCATTCATCAAAAAGATACTACAGATGTAATATAAATAAAATACGATTTTAGCCATTTTATTTTAGTATTTCTTCTCCTACTTTGTGGTAAAAAAAAAAAAAATAAAAATAATAACAGCTGTTTTGCATCAGTCATATTTATATTTTCACTAATTTAGCAAAATCATTAACAAAAAACAAAATGTGTTAGGTTCTGTCCCACTTGTCTCTAGGCAATCAAAGCAACAATTATCAGTAATATCGTACAAATATCATAACTTTACTGTTTGAAAAACAAAATCATTGATACAAAAGCACTGGATGAGCTGTTCTAAGTAAAGCAATAAAGCTCTGAGTACAATTCAGTGCATCATGAAATCTTGAAATTCACACAATTTGATTTCATTAGTTTCAGTATTATTTTTAAAAAATCTGTAAATATTTGAAAAATTGTGCACAGGGAGCTCTTGAGTGGCGCACCTGTCTAGCGTTGACCCTATTTTCTGGAGATCGTGAAGCCTGTGCTAGCCTTCACCCTCCTAACGCTGGTGGTATTATGTGATTGGTGGAGTCCTAATTAGTGGGTGGAATTGGATACAATTAAATAAAAAAAAGTGTACTGAAACTGCAAATATGCAAAATAAAAGCAACACAACAGATCCTGCTGGTAGGTTTTTTTTCTCTTGGAACAATGCATGCAAAAGCCAATTGAAAGCTAACTACGCCCTCTTGTGGAGAATTATCAGCCTGCTAAATGTGAGTGAGTTTCAAGTCAGATCCATGATGTGATTCCAAATGTAAAGACTGACCAGTATGCTTTTTTTTTCAATTTTGTTTTCACAATAGTCATTATTATTGGCCAAGTTATGTATACAATTTTTGTGTAGCCAAAAACAAAACAGACTTAAGTAGTCGAAGTAAAACAGCATTTTACCCACATTTGCTTATCAGTTGTCAGAAATGTTGCTAGACTGCCAGTTCTCAACTTTACAGTTTGTCATGTAAATAAACAGCAAAAACTCTCAATTTCTTAAATAATATGGATAAAATATCACACTTGCTCACAACCTTATAACGTAACACTAAAAACAACCCTAAAAACAGCTAAATAACATGAACTCAAACAACACCTGTTTGCATGTCGTTCAAAATAGCATCACATTCCTGAATATATTTCCTTACATAACATTTAAAGAGACATTCTCGGTGTTTCATTGGTGACATTTCTGTCAATTATAAATCTACAGAACCCCGAAATCAGCCAATCAGTGTACAGCCTGGACCCTAAAAAAAGCACAAGGAAAATGTTCCAGGCTTCAGCAAAGCCAGAAGGAATAGGGTGACAAACCGGCACTGATTTTGTCCTCCTTTGCTGCGGCTCTGCAGGGTGAGTCAGTCAGAGACTGCGGCTCACCTACACCCAGACATGGACAATTAGCGGCCGATGCACAAAGAGCTTGCAGCGGTTGCTATGCGCAGTGCCGCGGTTGCTAAGCGAGGTGCAGCGGTTGCTATGCGCGGTGCTGTTGTTGTTATGTGCCGTGTGGTGGGATTTTTCCGCCACTCGGAGCTTTATTGCGGTCCACTCGGAGCCAGCGTGGCGCCGGCTCCCCTGATTGTGTTTGAAATGTCTGCTATTGTGCTCCAACCAGCGGCTGATAGCTGTTGATGGGTGGCTCGGGTGGTTGCTATGCGCTGTGAACAAGTGTGAGGTGCAAAGGTGTAAAGCCCCTGGAGTGTGGGGGTGGGGTGGGGGGTTGGAGGTGACATGGAACACATGCAGAAGTGTTTACTGTACAGGAGGCCAATTTTCACAATACAGTCTTAAAAAAATAAGGTTCTTTACAGAAGCTTTTTTTTTTTGTAAATAAGAATCTCAAAAGAACTGAACATCATATATTTTTGCCATATCGCCCACACGGCACAGCTGTTTAAGCTTTCTCCCTATTGTCTGGACATCAAGAGGCCAAATTCTGACTATGATAGGAGCCTAAATGGACATGGTCATGGAGATGTGCAGACAAAAAAAAACAGTGCCACATTTAAAAAATACTGTCAAAACCCATAAAGATAATTATTTTTATTAGACTATTTACATATAGTACTGCTGTAAATCCAGTAAACAGGACTCCTTATGCTCTCTTTGTAATGAAACATGCCGTTGGTCATGTGGTCAGTTGGTCAGTGCTCTTTAAATACTGACAACATGCTTGGAAAAGCATATTGTGGTGTAATTTATCAGGTTCCAATAAAATATCATCATATCGGCCTCCGCTATATTCATCAAAAGTTATTTTTTAATGAAACATTTGGTAGTTCTGTGTTCTACACTCTAAAAAAGAAAATGGTTCTATTTAGAACCATGAATGCTCAAAGAACCCTTTGCGTGAATCTAGGGCCCTTTGCTCTGTGGAAACGTCCTTCAGATTACTGGAGAATGTGCTGTAGATGGTTCTACATAGCATAGAGGGTTCTAGTATTGTTACACTGTTAAGCTTGTAACAAAAGAAGAACCCTTTTTGGTGCTAAAAAGAACCCTTTCCAAATGAAACATTCAGCAGTACAGTGTTCTACGCTCTTACAATGATGGTGCTTCAAGGGTTCATTAGTAAAGAAAATAGTTCTATATAGAAGCATGAACAATTAAAGAACGATTTGCATGATTAAAGGGTTCTTTGCATCATGAAAGCGTTCTTCAGATCGATGGAGAATGTGCTGTAGATGGTTCTGTATAGTATCTATTTAAAATTGTTTCTATGTAGCACCCAAAAGGGTTCTTCTGTTGTTTTGGTGTCAAGCTTATAACAACAGAAGAACCCTTTTGGGTGCTAAATAGAACTCGTTTCAAACGAAACATTCAGCACTTCAGTGCTCTACACTCTTGAAAAAGGGTTCTTTAGTAAAGAAAAGGTTTCTATATACAACTATGAACACTCAAAGAACCCTTTGCATTGTAAAAGCGTTCTTCAGATTGATGGAGAACGTGCTCTAGATGGTTCTATGTAAAACCTTTTTGAAAATGGTTCTATATAACACCCAAAATGGTTCAACTTGTAACAGTAGAAGAACGCTTTTGGGTGCTAAATAGAACCCTTTTCAAATGAAACATTCAGCAGAACAGTGTTCTTTAGTAAAGAAAATGGTTCTATACAGAACCATGAACACTCAAAGGAGCTTTTGCATGATTAAGAGTTCTTTGCATCATGAAATGGTTCTTTAGATTGATGGAGAATGTGCTGTAGATGGTTCTATATAGAACCTTTTTGAAAATGGTTCTATATAGCACCCAAAAGGGTTCTTCTGTTGTTATGGTATCAGGCTTGTCACAATAGAAGAACCCTTTTGGGTGCTATATAGAACCATTAAACATTCAGCAGTTCAGTGTTCTACACTCCTAAAAAAAGATGGTGCTTCAAGGGTTCTTTAGTAAAGAAAATGGTCCTATATGGAACCATGAACCCTTTGCATGATTAAAGGGTTCTTTGCATCATGAAATTGTTATTCAGATTGACGGAGAATGTGCTGTAGATGGTTCTATACAGACATCTTTGAAAATGGTTCTAGATAGCACCCAAAAGGGTTCTTCTATTGTTTTGGTGTCAAGCTTCTAACAATAGAAGAACCCTTTTGGTGCTATCTAGAACCCTTTTCAAAAAGGTTCTATATAGTACCATCTATAGCACATTCTCCATAAATCCAATGAACCCTTTCATGATACAAAGAACCCTTTAATCATGCAAAGGGTTATTTAAGTGTTCATGGTTCTATATAGAACCACTTTCTTTACAAAAGAACCCATGAAAAAACATTTTATTAAGAGTGTAGAATTAATGACGATATTAATGATGTGCTCAGAGAAGTTTATCATGATGTCATTTATCACGATAACAATAATATCATCATATCGCCCACCCCTCGTTTCTTATGTTGGTTTGTTCTATGAGCTTCTGAATGAGTAAATATTACTGTACCCCACCTAATCCGGACCTCACCTTCAGATTTCTAATAAAAACTGACTTTTTTGTGGCATTTTTCTTTACAAAAAGCAGCCAAATCTCCTCACAGCCACAAACTGTTCACGTGCTCATCATCCTGAAGACTTTGATCTCCACAAAGACCTAAATACACACGCACACACACTCACACACAGACATCAGGATACTATATGTGGCTCTAAATGGGGTCTACCACTGGTCCTACAGGCAAATTCGATGTTACGGCTTATTGACTGGCACGTCTGAAATTAGT